GTCATACAAACCATATAAACATACTGTCGTTTTGGGCGACTCTGATTTACAAATAAACTGGACCAGGACGTTATCTTTGAGAGATTTATCCTACATTTTTTGATATTTCGATGATTCGAACTGGACGCAATACGCTACGGAGGCAGCTCATCAATAGCATTTTCTGGATCTTGTTTCCAACAGCCCTATCATTTTTGGTAATCGCACTACGCCTCCCCTTGCAACCTCAGGTCATAAAGTAGTTATCAATTTCCACCTTGCCGCTCAATGGTTGAATATATTTGAACAATATGAATCAGCTGACGACATTTATTACAATTTCGCCTGGTACTCTATGATGCCTTGTCCATATATGTGCCTTTCAAGACTGTCTAGCCTCAAATGCAAAACCTCAAGCATATCCGAAAAATTCTTGCACAGAAAGAACGGATATTCTGTTCCTTGGCAGGTCCACTATCTAGCCCCATGTACAATAAAAGTGTGCCAAGTTGTTGAGTTTCACCTGAAAATTTTTTTTGTCGAATTATGAACAAACTAGCTGCGAAGACCTCATCCAGGTTTTTCTTTCAATACATTAATAGCAAAATCAAACGTAACCGTCGTTTGCCGTCTATAGCCGATCAAATGGATTAAAAATATGAACGGACAATGAGAAGACTAATGTTCTAGCATCTTAGTTTGCCATTCAACGAGTTCTAAAGTCACTGAAATAGAATTTATTGCTTCTACTTTCGCTTATCGCCATTGCCTTTCGAATGTTTACTTCACCTTCTATAATGCTCTAAAATTTCTGGCTAAGCTCAGACCTTCCTTTACTGAGGCCTATGATGGAATACCGCAAATTCTTTTTAGAAAATGCGCTTTACCTTTTTGCGCCCCACTCGCTCATATATATTCAACTAGCTGGCTTGCCCGGCTCCGCCGGGCCTGCCAGCTAGACCCGTGTACGTATGTTCCGAATAGAAATTTTTATCTCTGAACCGATTGGGACCGAACTTTGCACACATACACTTCGGGGCAGGGAGCGTGTCACAGCCCACTTTTCGTTATCGATCGATGTCGATTTTACCGATTTTTTGCAAAATTTGAGCTAGGGGGCTAGGATTTTGCACAGGGGGGTAATCGAGCATGCTGATCACCCCTTCGGGGTGATCAGCATGCCCTGAAGTATATGTGTGCCAAGTTTGGTCCCGATCGGTTCAGAAATAAAAATTTGTATTCGGAACATACGTACATACATACAGACAGACATACAGACAGACAGACAAACAGACATTCAGCTTTATATATAAGATATAACTATGCGCTGCTACATGGCGAGGGCGCAATATCTTTAGGCGCGAACGCGTCTTTATTAGCCGCAGAGCGCATGAGGCGCGGGATCTACAACGGTGAGGATAGCGCGCCGCTTTCGCTCAACTAAAACTGCTTTTGCGCCTTCGTCATGCAGTAGCCTTTGTTTGGATGGGCGGATCACCGATTTACCAGTCTTCATGGCTGGAAAAAAGAGACGGATTTGAAATCTCAGCAGGGTATAAATACCGGTGGACAGGGGGAAGCCAGAGCGCGAAGAGAAAGCTTTCGAGAGTTTAAAAGAGCCGTCGAAGAGAAGCGGACCTCCACATTTAGATAGAGATAGAATAGAGAATCCTGCTGAGAGGGCAATTGGGTAGGAGCCTGTTGTTGTACATAGCTTTGCCCGTTGTCATGTTGTTTTTGTTAGCTTTGGGTAAATTCTTGCTCAAACTCGTGTTTCTCCATCGATCAGAATCGTCTTACCACTAGACCACTCCCCGTTACATCTATGATGTTAGGGGAAATTCCACAGCTATGGAAGGAAGCGTTGGTTGCCGCAAATTCCAAGGTTTCTAATGCTTCCCTCACGGGTTTTCGCCTCATAATTTTGACTCCCACAGCTGTAAAAGTAATAGAGAAAGTATTGCGGGATAAGCTACTTGCATGGCTTGAAATTTCCGAAACTGTCCCCTAATCAGCATGGTTTCATGTCAGGATCTTCCACTACCACTAATCTTGCCGACTCACTTTTTGATTGGACTCTACCACTAAATAGAGAGAATCAGTAGATGTTGTTTACGTGAATCTTTCTAAAGCCTTCGATCACGTTTGTTATAAAAAGCTGCTCTGCAGGTTGGAACGAACTGGGATGAATGGAAATTTGCTGAATTGGTTCAAATCATATCTGAGTAATAAAGGCATGACATTAAAGGTAGAACATCACTTTTCGAATAGACAAGCTTGTGTTAGGGCGGTTCCGCGAAGCGCAGTCCTTTCTCCGTTACTTTTTCTGGTTTATACTGCTGATCTTCTTTCAATCTTTAAAACGTCAGAGAATGTAACAATCCAAATGTATGCGGATGATATCGAGTTATACGGAACATATAACGAGAAAAATCGTGGTGAAGTTCAATCTGCAATAAAGCAATCCCTGGAAAGAATGGTAGACTGGGCATCATGCTCTGACATCTCAGTTAACTTGAACAAATGTTCTGTTATGCTTAAGACCAAAACTTCGTCTATGAGATAAATGGGAGTGCTTTAAGAAACTGCTCCAATGCTAAGGACTTGGAGTTTTGATAGATGACTGGTGACTTGAAGTTTTCACATCTTGACAGTGCGGTGAATAGTGCGTACTTTTATTTATTTCTCCGGTCCGTTCATACTGATAATCCCGTAAAATTGGAACTTCTATATAAAGCCTACGTACTTCCGCATTAAATGCTGTTTTGTGAAATGGAACTCATTTTTAAAGAAAAGCATAAGAACATTTACTCGGATTCTGTTTGCAAGGTGCTGCAGAGCATTTGCTTTGACCTAGATCTTAATTTTGCTTTTCGTTTTTCTCGTAAAAAACTTAGACTCAAAGCAAGAAAGTACTGGATTCTCAGGCCTAGTAATAAGACGGAGGTTTCACACACTATCCATGTATCGTATTTTCAGGAAACGTTTTTTTTTTGCAAACAAACTTTTAATACCCCATACAGAACACCTGGATGGCTTAGCAGATCGCCGAATACAGCGGTGTCATCTGAAACTTCAGTTGCCTTCAGACGCAGCGTAGCGCAAGTCGATCTATTGCGAGTTAAAGGTTGCCATAACTACTGGAACTTGTTTTTGCTTTTGCTGTTTTACTCCGAAAAATTTTTTGGGGTGCTTTTCAACACTTTTGCGGGCCTATATCCCCTAAAATCTAGAAAAAAGAAAACTTTTTTTAGCATTTGAAAAATCGTAACGATGGCGCGACCGCACACTACACGCACACCACTTCTGGAAACCGCATTTTCTTGATTTTCATCTCTAGTCGAGTGGTTTTTTTTCGCTTACATATGACAGTATTCAGACAAGAAGTGACTGAGCGGAGCATTGAGGTGATGTCTTTTTGTATGAGCGTTTTATGCTCCTGTGACCGCATCCGCAGTCACCTTATCATGACTTATAATAAAGTGCGTGTCTGTCTATTTGTCTGTGTGTGTTTGTGTCTGTCTGTCACGAAATTCGTAGAGCGTGTGATAGGCAAGGTCTTGAGCTGAAATTTTGTTCATAGCACCATATCAGCATGTAATCAAATACTGCAAAAGCACAAGCTAATTCGATGATTGGAACGTTAAAAAAACTGCGCGTCAAACGGGTCCACGCGACCTTTGGCCGACTAATGTGGGTCGAGGTTGTATTTCTTGCGAAGCTGTGGATTTGCTTAACAAGTAAGTGCTTGGACCATAGACATAAGTCCAAAGTAAGTAAAATATCTATTTTTACGCAAAGTCAGCGCCAAAAAGGAGTAATTGCGTAGATCACCAACTTGTTAAGGTTTCATCTAATTATTTGGGAAGATTTCTACTCAGAATCTAGGTGACAAAAGTAAGTGTCTTTCCTGGAAATTACCCGGCCACAACAGCTGCAGTAACTGACCGAAATTCTCCATTTTCTTCCATGCAGAGATTGTACTTTCCCAGTTTATCGCTCCTACATGGAAAAGCTCATGGAATGAGTAGTTGTTTACAATTCGTTCATGATGGTCAATACCGCATAGTGAGTTTCAAAATGAACATCATGCAAGTAAGAGGAAAGCATATAGATAGAGGAGCCAGTGCGAGCCTCGAGGTGAAGCACTGGTACATGCATAAGTTATGGCCTTCCATCATTTTGCCGTAGCTTGTATGTGGTCGGTTGTAAATCTATTATCTCCTACATTTCTGCAATTTTCTGGTCCTCTTGGCGCACTTGAGTGCAAGATCAAAATAAATTAATAAAGTACGATGTGACTTCTGCTTAATCCGGAGGTATGAATGCCTGCATTCATTTATTGTTATCGGATACCGCTTGTAAAGCGTCTTCATTTTGAATGTTACTACTGCAAACTCAGGGAGATTAGACAAGCCTTAATCGAGAGAGCGGAGCACAAGACTGGAACTACTATGACTGTCACATGTATTTGAGCTTAATCGTTTGAATCAACAAGAATATCATGTCATTTACCATATCTTCGCCAACACCTCCTTTCCTGAGACTAAATGAAGAACGCTTCTAGAAATGACTTATAGTCGTGATTGGTGGGGCTGGATACACCTGATAGTTGATGGTTCTGTCACTTTTGGTGACAGCATGGACACATTTTTGTGAAATTATGTGGTCGATTGCTTGCATTCTCAATGTTGACGCTCTCTTTTTTGGCTGTGGCATCTACTACCGGGCTTTATTCGTAAATTCCCCACTGGCTTCTTCGTGAAGCATCGTAGCAAAGACAGACTCATACAAGGAAAAGAATACCGTTACGTCGCTTTCTTTTGTCGCTGCACTAATCGCTTTCATTAAATGGTGCATTCAGTTCTCACGGGGAGAGAAAGAATTCAAGGACCCGGATAGCAAAGGTAAAAGCGTACTGTCTCGTACCGATACCTTAGAAACTGACAGCTCGTTTGCGAATTACAGTTTGAGTTAGTCTTCTTACTGGAAAGAAAAGTTGTAACAGTAAAGTAACTCACACCTCGCGTTCATGGCCGTAGGTTCTAATGAACGACTCTCGAAATCTTTTAACAGATAGATGGTTGCCTTTGCTCCATCGAATGCGATCTTCAAAAATGTAGCAAATGCAGACTAGGAGGAGCTAAAAAAAAGGTTAGATTTAAACCAACATACAATCAACAAAAATATCTAAACTGAACTTTCATATATCCAACTCTTTCACAGTCCAACTCACAAAAGGTGTTTGTGTAGCCAAAATCTATTTCATTCTACATATTTTCTAAATACGTAAAACATCCGGAATCCGTATTAAATTTTCAGGTAAGCCAACATTCACCATTTTCACAGCTGTACGGGGAACGACGCCCAACAAGATATTTCTCTTCCTATTCGGAGAGCACAAACGTCAACTCAGATCGCCGGGGCAGGCTGTCCGCAAACCCGCGCTTTTCTGCAAACGGTCAACAAAATTTTGGGGCGCGGCCAAACCTTTAGCGAGCGGTACTTCCGTGTTCTGTTAGCGGGCAGCAATACAAAATGTTCTGCAAACGCTCGCTAGATAATCTTTCAGCTAGCTCTGGCCAAACTTTCAGCGGGCGCATCTCGGACTTTTAGACCTGCTTCGGGCGTACGTAGAGCAAAGGTAACTCTCTACATAACCAGAGGTGCCATCGATGGTATTACCCGAGTGGGGTACTTTCTCTCAGCGGAAGGTACCTACGGGCTGTGCGGTCCTTCACAAAGGACCGTGAGGCCCTCAATAATTTTGCATATTCTCGCGGAAACTCCGCGAGAATGCGGCCACTGCGCCGCAACTGATCTATGAAAAAGATGCGATTGTTCTCCAAGCATTCGTCGAAAATTTCGCCAATATTTTTCCAAATATTTGCAAGCGGACAGCGAAAAATCAGCGAACTATTTTTCCGGCGCCCGCCTATCCATAAATTGCAGGCCGCTTGCCCACGGCGATTTTCCAAGAATGCCTAGTGATACTGAACCAGGCACGTTTACAGGGAGCTGGTCCTAGTCCTAACACGGCATGTAGTGCAGAGTAATTCAACAGATAATTCCATTTTCGTCGTATTTGACTGATTCGATACCGAAATCATTAGTAGCTGCTTCGCACACCTTGAATGTAAACTTGTCGTTTACTTTTGTTCATTCCTAGTCGGTTCAAGCATGATGTCGCAAGATCCCAATTTTTTGAAAGATATGATAGAACCAGTCAGTGCAAAATATAGCAGTGACCTTCAAGCAACAGCTTGACGGAAGTTTTCAAAAATAAGCCCAATTTTCTCTTCACATTATCCTCGCTTGCACGTTTAAATTTATATAACAATTCTCAGGCTCTATTGCAACGTACTTTTAGTTTCACTATTAGGCTCCCTGTGAAAATGACATGACAGATTTTACTGGTGAATACAACTATAAATGTCTACATGGAACAGGTAAAAAGTGAGTTTGAGAAAAACGCCAAGAATTTGCACATCAACAAAAATCGAGCCTTTTTGGCTGCCTCTGAGAATTTCACCCACTAATCACTACACTTCACAGCCATGTTTGGAATAGCCATGCGTGTGGACATGTATGCATCAAAAAGGGGTGGAGTTGAATTTGCTTTAGATTGGCGCTTCGCACTTACTGAATGCTATTTGATACTAAACCTCTCCAAGTTTAAGTATCCTATTTTTAGGTGTATAAACCGTAGGGGATTTTTTTCTTGAACCAGCACAAGCGCGCAAAAAACTTCGCAAGCAAAAGATGCTATATACTGTGCTGCATATTCCCTAAGACAATCGTGCGGCATTATGATCGCTTGCCGATCTGAAAAATTTGAAAAAGATGCGGCTTATGCAGGATGTCCCAAAAAATGTGAACACTGTTTGATCGTTAGTAACTCCCTTGCATTCACGTTTTTCGCCGAGCTTAATGCACTCTGTAGAGCGAGGTTTAACTTAGATCCTTAATATGGAGCGAATCATCGATCGCTTTTCATTACTGTAGGATTACGGTATGAACTTCCAGCATGTGGATCCATTTTCAAATTTGCCATTTGATAAAATTTTTTGAAAAAAATATGAAAAATCGCGTACTAGGGTTTTCGCATGCGCTGATTCCACTACACAAAGTTTTGCGAATGCTTCTAGTTTTTTTGACGGTGTAATCACATTTCTGGCAAATGCTGGAAATTCAGTTATCACGGTTTACTTGGGATAAGCTTGGAAGGAAACATCGCAGTAAAGTGGAATTTCATATTCGAAATCAACGGCTTCCATTAAAATAGTATAAGAGTTTTTGCTTGTTTAATTTTGTTCCGAGGGAGAATACGGCCTCCAAAGTCCTAAAATTCTCGTCGAAGTTCTTACCGTAATCCTACAGTAATGAAGAACGATAAATGATTCCCTCCATACTAGGGATCTAAGCTGAACCATGCTCTATAGAATGGTGCCTCAAGCTCGGCGAAAGACATGAAAGCAAGGGAGTTATTAATGATCAAACAGTCACATTTTTTGGGACACCCTGTACACCTGGAAATCGGGTGCATATCACATCTCAACTGGTCAATTTGGCAACCCATGATTTCAATCCATATACTGAAATCTAAGTTCGCGGTAGCAATAGCAAATGCACACATTGCTATTGCTACTGAATGCTGCAGATATCAGTGAGTGAAATTCTTGAATTTGCTTTACTTTCGCCATTTTGTTCGAAATTGCATCTTTGGCTAGCAATTGCATTCTGAAATCATCTCAAATTCGTCCTACTCCACTCTGCATAGATGAATAGCAGGCCTTTTGCTTTGGAACTAATGGCCATATCATATTGCAAACACTGCATCACTCTTTAATCAGTAATTTGAATAACATAGATCCTCCAGTCATTCTTTATATCTCAAGCAATATTTACACTATCAGACATTCGGAATAGTTTCGCTACATCTTAGTGGGCTTTAGGTCATTGCATTACCCATACGTCCATCGTTTATCTCCCTGAAACCAGGGACAAGCTGGTATCATGTTATTGTTCGACGTGTTAGAGTTTTATTTTTTGTTCTTCGGTGCACCTCGAGTGTATTAGTAAAATAAAATAAAATGAAACAAAATAACACTCACCAAAATTATGGCCTTACTCAAATTTCGCCATAATGGCTTCATTAACATTTTTGATTCATATACTGCCGTGTTCCCTAGAAAGTTCTTGCCTAGAGCAGTGGAGTTCCAGTCATGTGCAAGACCTATAATTATCTGAATGAATTTACAATATTTAAAAAAAATGAAAACTGTCTGTTGAAGAATACAGAGCATTGGATTACGGTTGCGTTATCGAACGTTCGGAATGGCCGATATTGCTTGGCCCACGCGAAGCGCCGCTGAAACATAACGAGACGCGCCTTGTATTTATATTACGCTTTACACGCTCGTCGCGTGTCAACGACGGCCATTCAGTGCGGTCAAAGACTCAGTGTAAAGCTCTGTGTAGTGTAAACGGGCAGCATATTGCGCTAATGTTTGTCAGCATTCTGTTTATACTACTTAGATTTTTCTTTACTTACCAACACTTGTGTGAAAATGTGCGTTCATCAAAATCGCATAATTTTCGTGTAAGAATTAGTATAGCTCAAAAGCTCATTTGTTTCGCTTTGGATCTGAATTTTATCGCGGGCGGCGCATAATCAAGCAGTGAGTGTAGCCCCGCCGCGAGAATGAATCGCGAAATTTTTAAGTTTGTCCGTAGTCTGCAAATTTGTAAATGTAACTTGTTTTCCTTGTAAATACTTGGAAAATTTTCCAAAATTTCCCGAAAACTTGAATTAAATTTGAAAAAAGATTTCGGGAGCGGGACTGAAAAATATTATGGATATCATGCCCTTCAAGACTATATATCGTCGATTCATTAACCGCACGGATTGCTCCAAGCTGCGAACCACGCGCGGAGCGGTTGAAATGTTGCGTAAGACGATTTATACCATGGGACCCTGTATTGGGACAAGCGTTTTATCTCGCGGCAGGTGCTTTGCAGTGATATCCAGTCCGTGCGATCAACGAAACGACTACTTCTCAAACGGAAAGGCTACTTCAAAGGCGGCATTCGAGCAAAATTCCTTTTTCAAAGCATTTTTTTCTTTTCGACTTTTGCATATTATGGGCTTTTTTTGCCACATGATACAGACTCGATCATCAAACCGGGTAAAAGAATGACTGTATGTAAAACCATTTATCCATTTTTAAAAGGAACCTTGGACGAATTTGTACAAGAAGAAAACTTTGTTGGAACCAATCTGAATAATGCCAGAGCAACAACAAACCTTTAGGATTAGCCCCTGCCTTGCAATTCTTTGCTTCAACCCGATTTTGTCGAAGCATTTTATACGGAGCAGCGTGTCCGTTTCGCTGGAGGCTTTGCGAGTGCACGCGCTCGCAATTTACCATAAATCGAGGAAACTGGAGGCGCTAATATGGTTTCTTAGGACAATATGTTCCTTAGGACAAAATAACGATCCTGTAGGAGCGAGCCGTTGCGGGGCGAACGCCCGCCAGATCTCTTTCTAAGCTGGGATGAAACTTACTGTGAGCGTGACTGCGCTTGATAGCACTAACGACATGCAAGGGTCCGTGGGGTGTACTAGGCTCCACGACCAAAAAGATGAAGGGCCGAAGCGATTGGAAATAGATGCCGCGCTTGAGCAGGCAGGCTCGCCACATCTATGCGGTATTGTTTTGATTTATGCAATGACTGAGATGTTTAGCGTTAATATTAGCTAATCTAACTTGGACTACAGGCTTGTGTACATGTAGGGTGTTTTCAAACGTTGGATACAATTTTTGCTTTCTCCTTTCCATAACTAGAAATTTGTTGAATCTTGTAAGAAACTGTCTACAAGGGAAGCTACCTAACTTAGCTTGGCCTTTTAGCGAAAGACATATATAGTCTGAATCAGCTTCAAAGGCTGATTGTAAATAAGCTATTCCTAGCTGCCACGCACCATTCCGAAGCGATTATGGGCTTTTTCCTGCGCAAAATTGGCATGCTCATCGACTCACGAGTATCGCGTCATCATCATTTTAGTGCTAATATACCTGCGCTAAGCTTTTTCAATGAGAAAAGATTGGATTTGTACTA